CTGATTGAAGTTAGAAGCACGGAATTTGGATAGTAGATTTGTGTTACGACACAGGTGAGCAATAAGAAAGAGTTTTTGAAAATTCCACCTCTAAGGGTGTGAATTAAGGGATGAACTGTATTGCTGAAAGCGCGCATTCCTCGATATCTCATTAATTATTAGAAATAGAAGAAAAAGTCGAAGCCAAATTTGTACGGTTCTTTAAAGACTATATTTCAAAGTTATTTTTAACCATACAGAGTGTTTTGTTTTTAAGACGTACCACACAGCTTCGTTTTTTTAAATGAAACATCCGATATATTTTTACATATTTTGATTGTTTCCCAGGCTTTACAACTACTGCTTATTTTTGAAATTCCGATGCGACGTTGCCACGTTATTCCAATTTCCTTGGAATTTTTTTAGCAAGGGTGTTTTACAAAATCTTGTAGAGAAATAAACAGAGGTAAGGGCTTTGTTATGATATAACTGAAAAGAAATTTTCCTATATAGAGTGTTTGTAAAACATTTTTTAGTATATAGTACAATTTTCAAATATCGATATTTCAGTATTTTCAAATACAACACTATATTTTATTTCGGGGTGATTTTCAAAATTTATTATATTTAAATATTGTTCAAATTTTATAAAATAAGATGCTCCTACACATGTGGTTTATGAACCCTTGTTGAATTTTCATACTACGCATCCAGATTTTTTGAGACAAAATCAAAATTACAACATCTTGCAATTTAACTTTGAAACTACTCTGAAATGTTTGCAACGTTTTAGGTTATCGTAAACACGGTAAATCGGATTTTACAGTTTTGGCGATTTAATTCATATTTACCAAATATAATTTTTGGTGATTCAAAAGCATTGTTTATTATTTCAAATCCAATTCTCATCTGAATGACTCGAGTTTAAGGATTGGATTATCGGACATTTTAGATGTTTCACCTCACTTTTTTTTCATCTATTTAAGTCTTTTTACCTGTTTTTTCACTTATTAGGGTAGTTTATCATGTTTTTACCATTTTAAGCACGTTTTAAGTTACTTGTTCTGAAAAGACGACTACGTAATTACGCAAAAAGGCAAAATATAGGCCCCGCCCACCCGCCCTATCTCAATTGTGATGATTTTTTTTATTCGCCGTGAACCAAGAGGGCGTAGCCTAATTACAAAAATTTGCGTCTCGGGTTTCTGTGAATAAAAAAATTATCACAATTGAGATGGGGTGGGTGGGCGGGGTATATATTTTGGCTTTTTTCTTAATCTACATAGTATGTATTCTTTGAACAACACGATACGCAAAAACATGTTTTTAATTTCTTGTAAAGAAATAAGTATTTTGCAGTTAAGTTCTGACCCCTTGGTTCACGACGAATAAAAAAATTATCACAATTGAGATAGGGCGGGTGGGCGGGCTTACATTTTGTCTTTTTGTTTTAATATGTGTACACTTCTTTTCACAACATGAAACTTAAAACATGTTTAAAATTGAAAATGGAAATATCGATTTTGAAATTAGGCGCCGCCCCATAATTGCAAAATCAGTATTTTCTTGCAAAAATGTACCATTTTAAAGATGTTCTAAGTTTCTTGTTGTTAAAAGATGGCCATGTATATTAAGAAAAAAAAACTCAAAATATAGTAAGATACACAAATTCAGTATTCTATTTGAAGAAACTGAAAAATCGATATTTGAAATTTGTGTAAAGTTTTAGAACTTTTTTGTAAACACTTTGTATATTAAAATTTGATTCACTTGATACCACAACAAAGCGCGTATCTTTATTTATTCGTCCACAAAATATTATAAGATACACTGTAAAAATAACCTTATTGTGATTTTTTGTGAACTTTATCATGTTTTTACCATGTTGAGCATGTTTTAAGTTTCTTGTTCTGAAAAGACGACTACGTAATTACGAAAAAAGGCAAAATATAAACCCCGCCCACCCGCCCTATCTCAATTGTGATGATTTTTTTTATTCGCCGTGAACCAGGAGGGCGGAGCCTAATCGCAAAATCCATATTTCCTTACAAAAATTTGCCTTTTTAAACGTGTTTAGAGTTTCTGTGAATAAAAAAATCATCACAATTGAGATGGGGTGGGTGGGCGGGGTTAATATTTTGGCTTTGTTTCTTAATCTACATAGTATTCTTTGAACAACACGATACGCAAAAACATGTTTTTAATTTCTTGTAAAGAAATAAGTATTTTGCAGTTAAGCTCTGCCCCCTTGGTTCACGGCGAATAAAAAAAATCATCACAATTGGGATAGGGCGGGTGGGCGGGCTTACATTTTGTCTTTTTGTTTTAATATGTGTTTTTTGTTTTTTGTTTTCACAACATGAAACTTAAAACATGTTTAAAATTGAAAATGGAAATATCGATTTTGAAATTAGGCGCCGCCCCATAATTGCAAAATCCGTATTTCCATTGCAAAAATGTACCATTTTAACCATGTTCTAAGTTTATTGTTGTGAAAAGATTGCTGCGTATATTAAGAAAAAAAAGGCAAAATATAGCAATTACCTGCTAAGATAAGACTGATTTTGGCAACTGAGAGCTGATGACTAACTTTTACAAAAAATTATCAAAATTTGGAAACGTTGCGAGCTTACTTATATGCAACAAATGTTTGTTAAATTTTATATAGAACTAGACATCGAGATCTTTGGAAAAAAATCAAAATTGCATTTTATAATTTAACTTTAAAATTGTAAAAGCGAATGTACTGAAATATTGCAAACGTTTTAAGTTTATAGGAAACATGATACATCGTTAATGAAAATGTGTTCATTTAAGGCTTTCCCAAAAAATTATGACTTCATCTTAGAATTCTGTCAAACAAATGTTCTTTAAATTTTGTAAAATAACATATCCCTGTTTGTGTGACTTATGAATCCGTGTTGAATTTTTACCCCTAGAATCCCCATTTTTGTACAAAAAATCAACATTGTATGACAATATTTTACAATGTAAGTTTAAAATTGCAAAAACCGAATGCTGTAAAATCTTACACTTTTGCCCCATTTCTTCAAATTTATTAGTGTTTTTGGGAAAAAAATGAGTATGAATTAATCAATCAGTCCTTTCTTATGCGCTGAGGACACAAACTCAACCAAATTTCATTTTCTTTTAATCGCTGATGTTTGTGCTAGTAGTCGAATTCGGTCGAAGTATAAACATAAACAGTCGAAGTTAAGCATATACTGAGAAATTGAAATTGTCTACTTTTTTTCCCGTTAGTTATCTACTTTAAATATATTTCATATTTAAAGACGTAGGGGTTGCGGGGATGTTAATTGCGCCACTTTACAGAGCTTTGTTTGTCTTGGTAGCGTCATGAGAATTTCAAAACCAACATCATTTTTTTCAAAACGCCAATGTCGTTAAGAAAACTGTATTCTATTTGAAAAAACTGAAAAATCGATATTTGAAAATTATAAAGTTTTAGAACTTTTTTGTAAACACTTTGTATATTAAAATTTGATTCGTTTGATACCACAACAAAGCACGTATCTTTATTTATTCGTCCACAAAATATTATAAAATACACTTTAAAAATAACCCTATTGTGATTTTTTGTGAACCCTCCGATTGCCAAAGAATTTCAATTAAATTGGAATAATGTGGCAACGTCGCATCGTAATTTCAAAAATAAATGTACTTATAAAGCCTAAGAGGAGGCTAATGAGAATATGTGAAAATATATAGTGTGTTTCACAAAAAAAAAAAAAACTAAATTGTGTGTTACACCTGAAAAATAGAACACTTTGTTTAGTTAAAAATAGATTTAGAGTATAGTGACCTTATATAGTATTCATCCGGGTGTAAAATCGGGTATGAAACTTTAAGTTGAAAAAATAAAAATGTGTATGGTTGATTTGGTGGAAGTGCTTTAAATGAATACAAATCAGAAACAGGAAATTTGTTTTATGGCCTATTATTATATTTATTTATGGTATTAAACCTTAAAATTAAATGTAAATTTTGTGACCATTGCGCGCAACTGCCCCTTACCTGCGGATTTTTCTGACCGTGGCGCGTAACTGACCCATACTCAGCCAAATTCAAAGTTATAGCATGAAGAACAGTTTCTATCAAGAGAAATGATTCAACAAAAATTTGAATTTGTGTAGCAAATATTGAAGCGACCTTGTAGTTTTGTTTATTACCTACAAATTTTGAAAGCGTAATAGCCGTCCACAATGCGGGTAATAATAACACTTACGTAGATAAAACTTATACATATCATATGTTTTAAATAATGACCATACGATATACACCGTGGAAAAAAGGCAAGTAATTTGACTAGCGCTTAATGACGGAGTGTGTATATTTCGTTTGAAAAAAGGTGTGGTTGATTAATAATTTAATTCTGGCTTAGGTTTGAAGTTCGATCAATAACCCGAGTCAGTGAAGAAAAAGTAAAATAAAAAGCGACAAGATAATGGCGAGTGTCGAAATAGTTGTAATCGATTGAAGTGAGTTTGGGGACCGCTGGTGTAGTATGTGGACTAAAGTAAAAATCGCATGTTTACGGAACGAGTGTGATAGTAGGAATGAATAAATCGTCCTTATCAGTATGATAAACGAAGCGGACACGACCAAACAGGGAGACGGACTCGTGCAAAATGTGTCTCTGGCGGTCCCACCGTCAATGGACACCTGGGGCTCAAACGGCGGGCTCGCGAGCGACAACAATGTTTAATAAGTGGAACTCAATACTAATCAAATAAAATCCACACGCACACTCACAAACACTCATCGAAGGAACTAACTCTTTACATTTGTATGTTTGAGGCGTTACGAACGATGGTTCGGGATACGTCTCATTGTCAGCCAAATTCTAATCTGCAAATCATATGGAATAACGAATCACCAACTGCCTTCGTGACATAAGTAGCTAGAAAATACGAAATATTGATTACGACAGACTTGGTGATGCACATTTATAAAAGTGCACTTCGCGTGCGCCTGTGGCTCGTCTGTTCGTTTCTACTTACCCGTACTGGCCCGGAAGAAGTGCGGGGTAGCCTGCCCGGATTCCTTGAAACGGGAACCCTGCAAAAAACACTTATCAGCATGATCACCACCTGAGTTATTACACCGCTGTACTTGTTGCCTAATTTTATTATGCACAGGAAACATTCAATACGACCCCTGCACAAAAAGACGCGCAACCGCTGAAAAATAAATCTACCAAATCCAACAAAACGCAAAATATTTGCGATTTAGGGACAGCAAAATCTGAACGAACAGTTTCCGTACATCGAAATTTTCTATACCGGACACCCTCATAAACGGACACAAACACCAAAATTGATTAGTAATGATCATAAACCGTTTTTAAAAAAAATGTCCTCGAATTATATAAAGAAGGGTGTGGATAGGTTATATTTAAAATTTTACAACAATAAGTTTGTTAATAACGGAGATATTTAATATTTAAACAACGAGCATGAACTTATAAAATCACGTATGTCCAAAAAAATTTATGATCGAGTCATGCATGAAGTAATAGGTGAATGTTTATTAATTTTACTTGATAATATAATCGACAAGTTATCTTTTACTCAGTACCAGAGTGGGGCACACTCAAACAATTTCACGTCCACAGGTGACTCAATTATAACTTCGATAACACATGTAAATTATCTACACGGCGTGCCAAAACTAAGGAGTAATTTAATTAAAATCCAACAAATACACATTTTCCGTGGCAGTTCCTAATTCTTACTTCCCGAGCGATAGTTAATAATAATAATATTGTCAGTTTCTTGTTGGGAAAATAAGACTTCATATATTAAGAAAAAATGGACCAAATATTAGCCCCGCCCACCCACCCTTTCTCAATTGTGATGAATGCTTTTTTATTCATCGTCAGCTAAAGGACGGAGATTAGTTGCGAAATCCTCATTTCTCTACAAGAAACTACCATATGAAATATGTTTTTAAAAGGATAGAATTTTCGAGAGAAATAATATATTACAATTATTAAACTCCGCCCCTCGTCTGATTAGGAATGAAAAGCCCATCACAATTCAGATCGGGGCGGGTGGGTGGGGCTTAATTTGTTTTTTCTTGTAATATATAGAGTTTTCTTTCAACAACAGGATAGTTAAACATATTATCAGTTTTTTGTTGTAAAAAGAAGACTTCGCATATTAAGAAAAAATGGAACGAATATACGCCCCGCCCACCCACCCCTTCTCAACTGTGATGAATGCCTTATTCATTGTGAACTGAAAGGCGGACATTAGTTGCAAAATCCTTATTTTTCTACAAGAACTTACCACATGAAATATATTTTTAAAGGGGTAAAATTTTATAGGAAAATAATATGTTACAGTTATTAAACTCCGCCCCTCGTCTGGTCAGGAATAAACAACTCATCACAATTGACATCAGGGGGCGTGGGTGGGGCTTCATTTTTGTTTTTTTTTTAATATATAGAATTTTCTTTCAACAATAGCTAAACATATTGTCGGTTTCTTGTTAGGAAAAGAAGACTTCATATATTAAGAAAAAATGGACCAAATATTAGCCCCGCCCACCCACCCTTTTTCAATTGTGATGAATGCTTTTTTATTCATCGTCAGCTAAAGGACGGAGATTAGTTGCGAAATCCTTATTTCTCTACAAGAAACTACCATATGAAATATGTTTTTAAAAGGATAGAATTATCTAGAGAAATAATATGTTACAATTATTAAACTCCGCCCCTCGTCTGATTAGGAATGAAAAACCCATCACAATTCAGATCGGGGCGAGTGGGTGGGGCTTAATTTGTTTTTTCTTCTAATATATAGAGTTTTCTTTCAACAACAGGATAGTTAAACATATTGTCAGCTTTTTGTTGTGAAAAGAAGACTTCGCATACTAAGAAAAAATGGACCAAATATACGCCCCGCCCACCCACCCCTTCTCAACTGTGATGAATGTCTTATTCATTGTGAGCTGAAGGGCGGATATTAGTTGCAAAATCCTTATTTCTCTACAAGAACTTAACATATGAAATATATTTTTAAAGGGGTAAAATTTTCTAGGAAAATAATATGTTACAGTTATTAAACTCCGCCCCTCGTCTGCTCAGGAATTAAAAACTCATCACAATTGACATCAGGGGGCGTGGGTGGAGCTTCATTTTTGTTTTTTTTTTTTAATATATAGAGTTTTCTTTCAACAATAGCTAAGCATATTGTCAGTTTCTTGTTAGGAAAAGAAGACTTCATATATTAAGAAAAAATGGACCAAATATTAGCCCCGCCCACCCACCCTTTCTCAATTGTGATGAATGCTTTTTTATTCATCGTCAGCTAAAGGACGGAGATTAGTTGCGAAATCCTCATTTCTCTACAAGAAACTACCATATGAAATATGTTTTTAAAAGGATAGAATTATCTAGAGAAATAATATGTTACAATTATTAAACTCCGCCCCTCGTCTGATTAGGAATGAAAAGCCCATCACAATTCAGATCGGGGCGAGTGGGTGGGGCTTAATTTGTTTTTTCTTCTAATATATAGAGTTTTCTTTCAACAACAGGATAGTTAAACATATTGTCAGTTTTTTGTTGTAAAAAGAAGACTTCGCATATTAAGAAAAAATGGAGCAAATATACGCCCCGCCCACCCACCCCTTCTCAACTGTGATGAATGCCTTATTCATTGTGAGCTGAAGGGCGGACATTAGTTGCAAAATCCTTATTTCTCTACAAGAACTTACCACATGAAATATATTTTTAAAGGGGTAAAATTTTCTAGGAAAATAATATGTTACAGTTATTAAACTCCGCCCCTCGTCTGGTCAGGAATTAAAAACTCATCACAATTGACATCAGGGGGCGTGGGTGGGGCTTCATTTTTGTTTTTTTTTTTTTAATATATAGAGTTTTCTTTCAACAATAGCTAAACATATTGTCAGTTTCTTGTTAGGAAAAGAAGACTTCATATATTAAGAAAAAATGGACCAAATATTAGCCCCGCCCACCCACCCTTTCTCAATTGTGATGAATGCTTTTTTATTCATCGTCAGCTAAAGGACGGAGATTAGTTGCGAAATCCTCATTTCTCTACAAGAAACTACCATATGAAATATGTTTTTAAAAGGATAGAATTTTCGAGAGAAATAATATGTTACAATTATTAAACTCCGCCCCTTCGTCTGATTAGGAATGAAAAGCCCATCACAATTCAGATCGGGGCGGGTGGGTGGGGCTTAATTTGTTTTTTCTTCTAATATATAGAGTTTTCTTTCAACAACAGGATAGTTAAACATATTGTCAGTTTTTTGTTGTGAAAAGAAGACTTCGCATATTAAGAAAAAATTGACCAAATATACGCCCCGCCCACCCACCCCTTCTCAACTGTGATGAATGCCTTATTCATTGTGAGCTGAAGGGCGGACATTAGTTGCAAAATCCTTATTTCTCTACAAGAACTTACCACATGAAATATATTTTTAAAGGGGTAAAATTTTCTAGGAAAATAATACGTTACAGTTATTAAACTCCGCCCCTCGTCTGGTCAGGAATTAAAAACTCATCACAATTGAGATCAGGGGGCGTGGGTGGGGCTTCATTTTTGTTTTTTTTTAATATATAGAGTTTTCTTTCAACAATAGTTAAACATATTGTCAGTTTCTTGTTGGGAAAAGAAGACTTCATGTATTAAGAAAAAATGGATCAAATATAATATGTTTTTCGACATTTCATCAGCCCTACACTATGAAAAAATAGATCTCCCGTTTCCGTTTGTATATCTGTCTTTTATAAGTATGAATATGTATGTATAAGTACATAGTCCTGTACTTGTGGTTCATGAATCCGCCTTGAATTTTGGCCCTAGGCACCCAGATTTCCTCCAAAAAATTCAAATTCAAAACCACTGGATCGAGTGTTGTCAAATTTTGTATGTGTTTTAGGAATCTAATATAAATAATAATACCCCAACAAAAATTTGTCTGATCATCCCCAATAACAACTTGATGACGTGATTTAAATTTTATAAAATTACATACTTCTACACCATCCTGATCTTACGCTAGACTTTCAAATTCGAGAAAAATTCCCTCGTCCCTAAAATACAGTCCAAAAGTCCTGCTTCTTTGAAGAAAAGCAAACTTTTATTTTGGCGGCGCTTCTGAGATGACGTCATCAAATTGTTGGTGCGGATGCTACCAAAATTTTGGTCATTTACATGATATTCTCAATATTCATACAAAATTTGACAGTAATCGGGCCAGTAGTTTCGTCACTAAAAATCGACACACACAGACGACAGACAGACGGAAACGGGAAACCCTTTTTTCATAATCTAGGGGTCATGAAACGTCGAAAAAACGCCGGAACTAAATTACTATATTTCTTTAACTTATGCGCGGGAAGTAAACATCAAAATTATATTACAGTTTTATTTTGTACCCAAATTGATATATTTTATAATGGAGAAACTCAATTCTGTGTTAACTTATAAGAATTATTATAAAAATAAAATTAGTGAAATCAAATTTTATAATTTTTATAATACGCTGGATGTGTTGTACATGCTCCAACGGCGGGGAAAGTTCTGTTCAAATAACCTTAGACCAACTTTTATATTCTGTCACGTCGTTACATTTTCTGTTCGGTAATATCGTGTGATTTTTTAAACTGTCTACTCTAGTTGACCATGACCAACTAGAGCAGAAATTCAAAAATCACCTGTTATAATTAATTGTGCATAAAACTTGTGGCAAGTTGAACGTACGACGTTAACATCGTAATGTTTTTTATTTTGTTTATTTATTTATTTCAAACGAAACTATTTAAATAATTTATGAGTCATTTTAATTATAATAGTACGTCTAGTGATATTGTCTTGTTAAAAATTATTTACAAAAATAAAATTTAACGGTCTTTTTGTAAAAACAACTGTGCAGTTTTTGTCTGGTTCCACTTGACTCGGCTAAATTCGGTTAGTTTTCTGTTTAAAATATGAGCAAAGCTATTTCGACAGAACTTTCCTCGCCCAAGTACACCTTGTCAGATCCAGCTCTTTCGAAAAATTAAAATCAGTTTGGATAGATGCATTGTACTACTAATAATAAAAGTATTGTATTATTGGTATTCTTGAATAACGCTTATTGAAGAATAAAACACTACATTTTATTACTTAGATTTTCGATGTTGTAATTCACATTTGTTTAATTATAACTTGAAAGTGTTTTATGCTTATACATCGGAAGAATATCACCTAGCAATTAGTTTGATTTGAATGAGTTCGTCCCTCCAAAGCAGAGGATTAGAATTGTAAAGTAGTAAGCTACAATCGACCAAAATTAGTCCTGTGTTTTGAGAAAACTCATTTAAATTAAGTAAATTTCAACGTGACATTCTTCCGGTATAAACATAAACACTCTAAATTAAAGCTTGTTATTATTGCTGAGAGGCCATTTTTCCCCGTTGATTGTCGTTGATTTTACGTTATCCGTACTTATGCAATTTGCACAATTTTACAATTTTTTTAAAAAACGGGATTTGTTGGACTTATACTTCAGGGAAGAGGCAAGTTTTAGTCTACAGTCATTTATTTTTCGAGGCGAGTCCGACCGAATTTCCATATTGTCTGCGATCACCTGGGTTAATTACTAAACGGATTGTTGGTTCGGTGGTCGTGCGCCATGTGCGGACGTCCGGGTGTACCGGAAGTCCGGAGGGTGGTTTAGAATCCGCGCGCCTAACCAATAAGCACTACTTACTGTCACTTTTAGCCCATCTGCCTTTACGTACACATACGCACCCGTTCATAGGCGTCGACTCGATCAGTGCCCTATGACTCGATGTCTTAACGATTTTTTTTTATATAGCAAATGTGAAGGTAATTTTAATTATTAATATCTAATACATAACCGACGTATAGTATCACAGGTGACTTTGGTCACAATTTAATTATCTAGCCGTTTTCACAAAAATAAAAACCCAGAAATTTTCTTACTTACCCGTTTGAACATTTCCTCGAGGTTTTGCTCCTAGAATTGCCAAATTTACGTTCGCTTTTCGTCCGTCAATAATAGGATTGGCGTCTTTACATGCTCTGTCTGATGAGGACTTATCTCCCATAATTACCTGGAAGAAAGGTAGTTCTTAGATGCTTACGCGGAAATAATATGAACTTGATAATAAGATTTGCGACGTAAGTATAATGCACGAAAGAAGAGCTAACTCATTCATTAGTAACACTAATAACTAGCGCAATTTTTCTATTTTCATTGAATGCGAGCTGTTTTAAAGGTATAAAATCAAAATAAAATCGTAAAGTCGGAAGCTATTACGTTAAAACAACCAATTTTTGGACCATTAAATTATTAAAATACACTCGGACGTAATAAAACGGAGAAATGGTTGTTTTCTTAGAACTGGTGCCATATTACACCATTAGAATAATCAAATTACACATTAGCGTTGGTTTTCATTGTCATATAATTAAAAAATTTCCCTGATTTAAAAAATTTAAAGAAGATACAGTTTATATCGATATATAATAATGACTTATCGATTCCAAACCCGACAGGGTTAACAACCTATTTAAAGGTAAAAAATCGTTTTTGGTTGTCCAAGTTTTAATTATAACGACATAACAAACACCTTACGACTAATTAAATTTTATATGGAGCATAATCTCCAATAATAATAATAAAAAGCTGCTTAACTTTTTTGAAAAAAGTGTTTTTTTATAAAAATCAATAAACAAGTTTAGTGTTGAGGTTTTCAGTCAACAATTAACGTGTACAAAAATAGTCAAAGAAGGCATTCCCCAATACGCAAAAACTTTTTTGAAAAACTGCGTCTCTTTACAATTTTTGTAACACTAATTAGTTCAAAATTTAGTAGTAATTTTAATGTGACAATATTGTTGGTGAACTAAAGACAAAATAAAATTTAAGTAATTTTGTTGATATTGATTGACTATTTTGACGTATTCATTGTACAAAAAACGTAGTAAAACCTGTTTATCAAAAATATTTTTGACTTTTCCTAGGTGAAAAAATAGAAATTTCCAACGATATTTTACAAATTTGTTTTGATAGCATGTCACACGAGCGCAGCATACTGAGTCAGTTCTAAAATAAGGAACAATAAATATACCTTAATGTCTACAAGATTTTTTAAGAGAACTTAAGTTACATTAACATGGTTTGTTCATTTTAAATTCGAACGAACGGGAAAAAAATATCACCGAAAAAAAAGTACTTGCTATAAAAATATATATAGAGATCACTTTTAACAATTTTGTACTTTCGTCAACCAGTTAATATGGAACACATGATGGCATAAAATTTGTAAGAACTTATTTCCATCTCTTTGATTTTCCGATTCGTACCGGTCCGCCAAACAAAGGCGTAGTGTAGTTGAGCCTTAACAAACACAAAAATATAAAATTGTATCGAGGTTTCACGTGTCCGTGTTGAATTATCGTACGACGAATGTTTAAACATGGCCTGAGTTTAAAAACAATACAATTCTTCGTGCTCTATATACTTATCAAGTTGCTTGCTTATCAGAACATATCGATAACTACCGAATTTTTTTACAAAATTTTTATAGCGTTAAGTTTTATCATCAAATCGCATCAAGTGCAACATAATTGTTAACAAAACCGACTTGCGTGCAGATGTTTTCATAAAAACGCTCAACGCTCAACGAAAAAAATAAAAATCAAACTAACAAACTGGCCAAACGCTGAAAAATAATCCTAATCTCCGCACAGAAATGCAGATCGAGCAAAATGCTGGAGATATAATTATAAAATCATTACGCCATTGAAATAATTTTATTGTGCCGGTATTGAGAGTTCAATGCCAACATATGACAGGAAAATGAATTTTTTATTAACATCAACAAGCTTTTATGTGTTTGTACCTTTGAAATGGCTTATGTTCGCAGCGAATCGTCGATATCACAAACAAGGGGAAGACACTTAAAGCAAAAAGCCGTATACTGAATGGGCTGCTTCGACAGTCAAATAACGTGATTAAAAAAATACCAAAACTGTTGTGACAAAGCTTGAAAAGTGCGGACAAATGTTTTTATGTAAAACGGAAATTGAATAGAGTGTTCGATTAGTCAAAAGAATAATGATAGTAATAACAATAATAATAAACAAAATTTTGGTGGAGTTCATTTGTTCAAAAAATGAGATGCGACACTTGTGCCCCGTAAACTTTTCACAGTAAGAGTGATTTTAATTCGGTGAATAGCAACCGATTGCTGTAGAAGGAATAGCCCCGGGCTCAATTGGAATTAATCCGGGCTATGGACCTAATGATTCGTCATATCAGATAAATTTCGTTGCGTAGTTATTGTGCGATCTAGCCGGGTAAATTTGGTGTGAAACTATCCCGACCCCATTGAGCAGCTGCCGTGGGGAGTAAGCCCCTATTTTGTGCAGACACAAACGAGTACGGTGAATATTAACGACTCCGTGCATGTGAAAGCGGCTCACAATCCGCTAGGCATGGCGTTTTTCGGGCATAGAGGGACCCGAAGAAGTAAAATAGCCGAAAAACTTGAAACTGAGGCACGTTTCGTCTTCGGTGTCGCAAACAGTGCCCGAAAGCGCGGTGCCTCGTGGACATGACTTACGAATCCATAGCCGCGGCTCTTTCCGGTCTGCCTGTCCGTGATGACGACGGCCTCCTCGATCTCGCCGTAGACGGAGAAGTGCTCGCGGAGCGACTGGTCGGTGGTGTGGTAAGGCAGGCCGCCGACGAAGAGCTTGGTCCAGGTGGTGTCCTTATGCTGCACGCCGGTGTTGGCGGTCGCGGTGGCGGCGTTCGAGTTGGCCAGCACGCCGAGGCCGCCCAGGCCCAGGGTGTCGGCCTCGCTGGCGGCGGGCAGTCCGGCGCCGGGCATCAGCATGGTCTTCTGATCTTCGGGATCAGAAGGGGCGGCGCGCTCGTCGGCGTTGCGGGAAATGTTGTGGTTTTCCGTGGGGCGGCTGGGGCGAGTTCCGAGGGGGTTGACGACGTTGTTTATGTACTCTTTGGTGAAGGTGCTCCGGCGATCTCGCATAGGTACGCAGGTCCGGCCGTTTCGCACATAAAGTTCCGGGACGCGCGGATTCACCACCAGCGAGCGCGAAGCACGTGTGATGCTGTGTACTAGTTGCGAGACGCTACAGCACTAAATTTAGCTTTGCGGTATTGCAGCTGTGTTGATGAACCAGACGGCTGTACGTACGGGAATCGCACTGAAGGGAGCTAAGGGTTCACTGAAAAGTACCGCCAACGCTGAATATTCTACACATATGACTACTACTAACGCTCTGACACGAATAAAACTAAAGCGCTCAAATGCGCCCCCTGGATTGGTCAAACCGTGGTGGGGACGCACCTATTACATTTCAAACTCCATTACGACATTTTCCTAGATATATGAACTTTTAAGCGCGCCGTAAACATTTTCTTCACTTAATTATTGATAACGACCCCAACCTACTTCCTTTAAAAATTACCGCACTCTACGCAGACTGCAAACGAACTCGCAATGCCACCGCTAAGGGAAAAACGTGCCTTATTATTCCCTGCCAAGGCGCAAATAAAACATCCCAATATCTTACTTTTTCCTACGTTTTTTAACATGTACTTAATATTAAAATCGTTGCTCATGAACGACAACAGAATCGAACTTCAATTAAAAAAAATCGAAATAAAAAAAAACGAAAAAACACTTTAAACCAGAGCTTATAACAAATATACTGGTATTAGCATTTTTACATTTTCACTCGTGTATATTTTTTTGCAGAACCCACAAAAAGGAAAAAAATGAAACAATTTTATTCAGTTATAAAATTTTTTGTTTTTTACTTCCCGAGCGTAAGCAAAGGAAGTATTGTAATCGAGTCCGTCGGTCGACTCTCTACTTTTACGTTTTCTCGATCTTTCATGACCCCTAGAAGATGAAGAAATAGGTCTCCCATTTCCGTCTGTCTGTCCGTCTGTCCGTCTGTCCGTCTGTCCGTCTGGACCGATTGTTGTGAAATTTTGTACTTATATTGAGAATATCATGTAGATAGTAAAACGCTCACCAAAATTTGTCTAATCATCCCCACCACTAATGCGATGACGTCATTTCAAAATTGTACATAGTAAATGCGTTTTAAATTGTATAAAATAACATAGTCCTACATATGTAGTTTACGACTTCGAATTGAGTTTTTACCCGAAACGTCCAGATTTTTGGAAAAAAAATCAAAATCATAAAATAACATTTTGCAATTTAATTTTGAATCTGCTAACCCGAATGTTTTGAAATGTTGCAGATGTTTTAAGGCTATTAAGAGCATCATAAATCTTTAGTCAAAATATATCTGGTTATCCCCTCCAAAAACTTGATGACGTCAGCTCAACAGTTTGCCGAATAAATCCTATCTAAAATGTACAAAATATGATGAGTCTGTACTTGTGATCTATCACTCCGTTCGTATTTTTTGGATTTGCATATACAGGGTGACTCAAAAAAATTAATGAATGCGTAAATTTATTTTACTGATTTACTCAGGAACTACAAAATGGAATGCTTTGAAATCTTGCAGATGTTTTAAGGTTATAAAAAGCGTAATAAATGTTTAGTCAAAATATATTTGCTTATCCCCTCCAAAAACTTGATGACGTCAGCTCAAAAGTTTGCCGAATAAATCCGGTCTAAAATGTACAAAATATGATGAGTCTGTACTTGTGATCTATCACTCCATTCATATTTTTTGGATTTGCATATACAGGGTGACTCAAAAAAATTAATGAATGCGTAAATTTATTTTACTGATTTACTCAGGAACTACAAAACGGAATGCTTTGAAACCTTGCAAATGTTTTAAGGTTACAAAAAGCGTAATAAATGTTTAGTCAAAATATATTTGGTTATCTTCTACAAAAAACTGATGACGTCAGCTCAAAAGTTTGCCGAATAAATCCTATCTGTACTTGCAATTTATCATTCCATTCATATTTTTTGAATTTGCATATACCGGGTGACTCAAAAAAAAATGAAATCTACTGCAAAAAAAAACATAATACACATGCAGTCGTCACGTTTCCGACAGCGAAAACTCTTTAGACCAATTTTTTTTTAATAACACTATGTAACAAAATTATAGAAAAATAATATTTATCTGACTTTTTTTGTGGTTTTTGGTGTAATTTAGTCTATACTTAGAGAATATGAATTTGGTTCGTACAGAGAATCCCTAACATAAAAAATATTTAACTATTTGTTGTTTAGTGAAAAATGTCAAAATTTTAATTAAAAAAAAAAACGAAAGCAGTTTAATTAATTGGAAATACTACAAAGAAGAAAAAAGGCATAAATTATTTACAAATAAAAATAAAAATCAACCTTCGCGTGGCCCTGGGGCTTGGGAGGGCTGCCACGTTAATTAAATTATAAAATATATTGACTGTACAAAAATATATAACAACCAGTAAGATGGTTACTTGGTTGTCTTAAAAAACGGGAAATGGTAAATGCTACAGACTTACGTAAGGTTTCCTCGAAACCATGCTTCCAAACTTGACCGGCAACTTCCGCAGTAAACAAGATGAACCCATGAACCCATGGTTTATCCTGGTTCTTAATAGTTCTCTCAAAGTACGCTTCATATGCTACCCCGAACTTTGTCGTAGGAACTATTTTATGTTTCACTTAGTCAACAGTTTTGTAATAACTGCAAATGTATCAAAAAGAAGTTGCAAATAATTTACACCTGCGTGTGGCAAAATACATACAAATTTTTTTCTTTTACAAAAAAAAATTAAATAAATGAAAATAGGGACAGTTCGACCAAACTAACCACAGCACGTCAAAAGTTACATCAGGATACAACGATAAATGTGAAAAAAGCAAGATAATAATTTTTTTGTTACACAGTGTAATTTATTAGTCCTAACTATGATTACTCACCAGTTGAATAGTCTATAAGAAACCCAAAAAAAATCGTCTCTTGCATTTATCCGTCTGTCCGTCGTCTGGCATTTGTCGGCCATCAAATAGTTAAATCTCCGAAACTACTGGACTGATTGTTCCCCACAATTGGGACAAAATTTGCATAATAAATGCTATTTAAATTTTGTAAAATAATAGGCAAAATATAAGCCCCACCCACCCACCCTGTCTCAATTGTGATGAATTTTTTATTCGTTGTCAAACCGAGGGATGGAGCATAACTGCAAAATCCGTATTTCCTCACAAAAATGTTTTAAGTTTCTTGTAGTGAAAAGATGACTATGTATATTAAGAAAAAAAGGAAAATATAAGCCCCGCCCACCCGCCCTGTCCCAATTGTGATGATTTTTTTTCATTCGTTGTAAGCCTAATCTTTATTTTTCTAAGAGAAATTACCATGTGACACATGTTCTTAAGTAATCGTGTTGTTCAAAGAACAATAAATGTATTAAGTAACAAAAAAGCCAGATAAGCCCCACCCATCCATCTCGATCTCAATTGTATTGAATTTCTCATTGGTTGTCACAGCGAGGGGCGGAGTGTAATTGCAAAATCTTAAAAATTTACCATAAAATCCTTGTTGTGAAAAGTTGACTACATGTATTAAAAAAAGGCAAAATGTAAGGTCTTGAAACGTTACTGAGATTATCATAGGCGTGATAAGTCGCTAATTAAAATTCATCTGTTTATTTCTTCGAAAAATACGATGAAGCCATATCAAAATTTAGCTGGATGCTTGTATTTTATCAATACATGAATATTTTGAATTTTTGAGCGTAAGCTAAGGAAGTGTTGTAATCGAGTCAAATTGTTGTCAAATTTTATATGTAAGTATATTAGGAATATCGTGGTAAAATGGCTAAGCAAAATTTCGAGAAACATCCCCACCAACAATAGGTTGGCGTCATTTCGAAAATTGACAATAGTAATTATTATTTCAATTTTATAAAATAAGATACTTTTTCACGTGTAGTTTATGAATCCGCATTCACTTTTTACCCTAGACATCCAGATTTTTGAAAAAATATCAAAATTATATAACCAAATTTTGCAATTTAATTTTGAAACTACAAAACCGAATGCTCTGAAATCTTGCAAACGGTTTAATGTTATATTATACAAAATCTATTCGTTTATGACCTTCCCAAAAAATTATTTCATTTCCTTTTAACCACTGATGCTTGTGATCTGAACTTGTATGTATAAACATAAACAGTTGAAGTTAGGCGTTTACTGAGAAACTGATAATCTCTGCACTTTTCCCGTTGGTTATGAAATCTTGTACGTCATTTTTCTGTCATTTTGAAAATTTTAATCTAAGTTGGCATGGCCGTTAATTACGCCACTAATTTTTATTTTATAGTCATCACAAAACGAAAATCGCAAAAAAACATTTTAAAGAAACGATAAAGAAACTTACTGTCAAAATAATTTTACATTCTTTTTTTTTAAGAATGTGAAAGCTCGGAGACCCCAACTATATTTTTTTAAAGGTGAAATCTTCCTGTGGGGCCAAAATGTTTTTTTTTTTAACATTCTCGAAAACCGAAACTTCTTTTTAAAGAATCTGAAACCTCGTGGTTCCCAACTGTGTTTTTTTTGTGATGAAACTTTTTTTCTCTTACACTGTGAGTCTTTCTATATTGTTTCTAATCATGAGAGGTTACCACAAAAAAGTAAAATTTCGCAAAATCAATTTCCACAATTTTTCAAAGAAGCAGGATCGATTGAACTGTTAAAAATAACTTTCGACTTTCGATCAATTTTTGTTTCAGTTTCCCAAATTTTGGGGATGCAGTACTTTTATTATTAGTATTGCAAGATATTTATATATAGTTAATGTACTAATGGTATTCAAATCTTTGTGCTAGCCAAAGCAATAGAATCATCATACAAAATTTTTAAAATAGAGTAGTTCGTGGTGTCGTAAACCGATCCCAAGTACATCAAGATCGAAATGCAGAAACTATCGATATCGTTATTTAAAAGTATAATCAAAGTCACGAACAACGACCTCAACGGCACAACAACAACACGACAAACAATGTCCATTCGATCAGAAAACTGAAACAAACAAAACTGTTTGGAATAGTGTTGTATATTTTACTATAAACCAGAGCACATACAATAGTGCATATTAAAACAATGGAGTAACACTATCAGAACCACAGTGATTGTTACAGAATTTTGTAATTTTTTAACACCAGCAAATTAGGTTTAATAGCTTATTAGTGTATAAAACGGGATTGCGATAACAGAGAGCACCACCAGGTGTTTCTTATAATAAGTATTGCTCCTTAGTTACCCATAGTTAAATTTCGATTTACCCCATTTTCTCGAAA